CTCATGCACAAAGTTAAGATAGAGCAGATAGTGCCAGATCAAGATTATATAGATACAAAAACGGCAAGGATCAGAAAGTAATTATTCTGCCTCAGTGGAATTCCGAGTTCCGAGAATTGAAGAGGAAATAAATAAAATAAATAAAATGCAGCTTTGGTTTTCGAGTAACCAAAGAATAACAGTAATTATTTTGAAAAGTCAACATATTAGTTCTGTTTTAAAAAAAACAGATGGTGATTTTGTCAGCACTGCACTGACATTTCCCTGTGTTTTCTCATACTGTGAAACGATAGCTCTCCCAAAGCATGGGAACAGCAGTTGACCTTATCAGAATGTGTTCAATGGTTGCCCGAGCATAGAGTATTCCTTATAAGGCTCTATACAGCCATTATCAATGGCTCAATAATGATGAGCTCAGCTGCCACAAAATTGTTCTTTAGCTGTGACTTTCATGACTCTGGAAAAAGACACATGGTTGTGAAAACCAGGCACTGAAATCGCCAACTGGAATAGGTCTCCACTAGGAGTAGAGAATGGAAAACATTTGGATTATTTTCATGGGTTTTTATGTCTGAACAGAGTTTAAATCCTAAACCTAATTAATTTTGTTGTTGCTTGTGTAGAAGAATTTTGAATTTTCAATGCTGGATGTCAGGTTTCATTTTAAAGCAACCTGCTCTGTAAGTGCCCGCAGCCTCACAGTCTGACTCGCTTAGGGCACTGCCTCATCATCCCTCCAAGTTCAGAGGCAGCTCTGGGTGCAATCGAGTTTGACAAGACGTTTTATTTGGACACAGGAGCAGTTAACAGACAATGAGGCTGATTCCACACTCCAGTCACCAGAACAAGGCTTCAACAAAGTATGGAGCAAGTCATTGGGGGTTGGAATCAAGAGGGGTGGAGGGTAGACGAGGTGTGAGGGGAGCCGAAGCATGAACAAAGAGGAAAGTCTTGAGACAAGGGAGGGATCGAGGCAGTGGGATTCCGGGATGGAGTTCCAGAGGATGAGGGCAGAAAAGCTGAAGGCCCGATCACCTATGGTGGGGCAGGCAGAGCAGGGGACATGAAGCAGACCAGTGGCCACCGAGCAGGGGGAGTGGACAGCTTGGTATGGTGTTAATACGTCACAGAAGTAGGAAGGAATAAGGCCTTGTAGGTTTTAAAAGTGGGGACGAGGATTCATGTCACCTGAATAGACGGGACGTCAGTTTAATATTTCATCTGAAGGATGCACCTCTGACAATGTAGCATACCCCCAAACCCTAGTACTGCAATGGAATGGCAGTATAGACCAGTGTTGGTCAACCTATGCCCATGGGCTGGAAGTAGCCCATGGGCTGTGAAGAAGCGGCTCCTGAATATTCACACAAGTGTAGTTGAGGCATATATTCAATCAAGGAAATTTATTTTGTTGACCGACCATAAAGGTTAGCCACCACTCGTGTAGACTATATGAGTTTGAAGTCCCAACGTGGAGTTTTGAACACACAACCTTATAACTCACATGAGAAAGTGTCACCAACTGAGCCAGGCTATGCACTTATACATCCTCTTTATGTCTGACGCAATGTTGACATCAAGAATACACCTTCAGTTTTCTGGTTGTAATTCATAGAATCGTAAAATCTTAGAATTACACAGCACAGAAGGCGACAATTTGGCTCATCATGTCTGTGCCGGCTCTTTGAAAAGAGCTATCCAATTCAATTCCACTGCTCCGTACTCTCCCCATAGCTCTGCAAACTTATCCTTCTTAAGCTGTCTTTGAGTTGAAAACCCAAATATTAACAATATATACTCGCTCTAACAAAGTGTACAGTAAAAGCAGGGAGAAGGAAAAAGAAAAATGAGAGAAACTAATTCACATGAACATGAACAAAATGGGTGAGGATAGGCTAAAATAGCATGAAATTAAGGGGGGAAAAAGGGAATAAGAGATAGTACAAGGAAAAAAGGGGTGACAAGGTAAGCTCCAAGTAAGGTGTTATTTTTACAAACCAAAATTGTGCTTCTTGTAGTGGATTTGGGTTAATAATATTTCAGTAAGTTTATTGGTGTTTTATGGAGTGCCAGAATGACTTGAGCTGAAAACATAAGCAATTGATTGGTCCATAGAAGTTACCACAGAACTACTGTCAGACTAAGTAACAATAAATAATCTTGCATTTTGATATAGCGCCTTATCACATTGTTGAGACACCTCATCACCTCAATTGCAACCACCAAAACGTTACATTGATATAGCACCTTTTATATAAGGTAACATCTCGGAGTGCTTTGCAGGTACAGAGTTGAATACTTATGATGATGGGGGAGAGATGATCATAGGCACGTCGAAAGATGTAGGATTTGAAGTGGGATTTTAAGACATTAAAAGAGGGGTAGTGAGATAATGATAGAGGGAGGGAGTTCCAGAGGTTAACAGTGTAGGAACTGAAGATTCGACCACTGATGGTGGAGTGCAGATTGAGGGAGATGAGCAGCAAGCACATCATGTTCTCACACTGTAACCACTAAGCAAAGAGAAAATCAGGTGGTTGTGAGTGCTCGACTCAGCTGGACAAAGTTAAAGGAGTTTATTGCGACATTTAATGTATCGGTCAGATGACATGCTGTAATCTGGGTTGCCAATGCACATAATTAGGTACCTTTCAGCAGAGTCTGCTCCCTGTGCAGCTGTTACTTCAGCGGGACGATCTTAGTTTACTGCCAGTTAAAATACTGGTTATGCAGCCACATGCTCATCATTGGACCTGCCAGCAATGCAAATCCATTTATTTCTTGGTAACAGTCTCAAGTCTCGGAGATAGCATAGAGCTGCCAGCGAAAAGCAGCATATAATTATGAGGGATTTGTCAACTCCACTTCGGTTATATAGAAGACTGGGCTATTCCCCACAGTGCAAATCACACAAGATGCGGACAATCCTGCAAAGATAGCTTTGGTCTCAAATGCTCCTCCTCGAGTCCAGGACAGTGATGGGAGTGGCAGTGATAGGAATATAATAGTCAACAGCTCTCAGTGATTGTGCCACCAACAATGCTAAATCTCTTATTATTGGCTTAGCCCCACATTCACCTGGATTTCTTAATTGGTAAATACAATGCCAGAAACCCAGTTGTCTTCTCAGGAAAGTTACTCATTCCAGTTTCCCAGAGATCAATTTACATTACTCTGCCATTTTGGAACCTATTTGGTTAAGTTTGTGATTTTTAAAGCATTCTTTCTTTCGCGTTCCTGGTCTGCAATGCTCAATTTGCCACCAAGCACTGGGTTTACTTACTAACTTAAGCATGAAAGAACCCAAAACAGCTGAAATAACGGTTTCATTGTGTCTGCCACATGCAGAAACCCCAACAGCACAATACACTTACAAGTATCAAAACCCAATTTGCACACATGTATGTCACCTAAACATAGACATTTCCCTGTATCTGGAATGGAGTGTATGTTCTCTCCCTGTGTGCTCTCTGCTAACCTAATTCTGAAGAACATTACATTATAATAATAATAATAATCCTTGCATTTGATATAATAATAATAATAATCCTTGCATTTGATATAATAATAATAATAATCCTTGCATTTGATATAGCGCTTTTCATGTCTTCTAGACGTCCCAAAGCACTTCACAGAATATACTGTAAAGTGAATTGACTGTATATTTGTGGGCGAACGCGGCAGCCAATTGCGCATAGCAGTGTCCCACAAACAGTCGTAGATTGAAAATGACCAATTTATTATTGTTTTGTTTTGGAGGGATTATTATTAGGCTCTGTGTGGAGTAAGGAAACTTGCCCAAGGTTTCGCCCTGTGCCTGGAATTGAACTCAGGTCTCTCACTTGCAAAGCGAGTGCTCTTGTTGAGAGCCAGTGGGCTTGGGGACCCCAGTGTTGGGGTACTCCTGGAGATTAATCAGCTAAATCCCATGCAGCTTGCCATTGAGAACACTGTTTGACAAGCTTCTCACCACTTGTCTACCTAGAATCACCCTACTGCATTAGGGTTTGCTTGCAGGACTGACAGGAGACAAATGGGAAGAATCCCTGCTCCCAGTCAACACCTCCAAGTTCTTCTTAGTAGGAATTGTGTCTCTATCAGCCTGGCTCAGTTGGTAGAACTCTCTCATCTGAGTCACAAGGTTGTGGGTTCAAGCCCCAAGTCAAGTCTTGAAATTCATGTGATTTAAGCAGACTTTTTAATGGAGTGTTGTGGGGGGATTTGCATTTTAGAAGTGTCGACCTTCTGATGAGATATTAAACCGAGGTACCGTCTGCCTCTTCAAGTCGACGTTAAAGATCCCATGGTGCTGCTCAAAAAGAGAAGGGAGTTTCTTCCAGTGTCCTGGCCCACAATCCCCCAAATAAAATTGGTTGTTTAGTTCATGGCTGTTTGTTGGACATTGCTGCATTTGCCCCAAAGACACACAGTCACTGCAATTTACAATATATCATGTGAAGCACATTATGACATCCTCTAGATATGAAAGGTGATATGCCAAATATAAGGATTATTATTATTAATAAGTACTGCATGCCAATCTAAAACCGTTGTATCACCCACAAAGCATGTGTAGCCCTCCACTTCAACAACAACAACAAAATTGCATTGATAATAGCGTCTTTCACATTGGCTTTTTTTTCACCTGTTATTCTGAGCAGAATCGCTGCTCCTTATGTCTTTAGCCCTCCATTCATAGTCTGTCTGGAGTATTGCATCTGCTTTACATCCTCTCCCAAAAGTTAAGACAGTGCTATGTTGGCAGAAGCCTTTCTTAGTTTCACACATTTTAGTCACATTTTCTAGGCAGTCGATGAAGCTGTCCTGAATTAAGGAACAGTGTTAAGTAATGAATGGATAATGTATTTATGATAATTGCTTTTCCTCCACAAAAATAATTTGAAGCCTACAACACAATACAATTTTCAACACAGTGTTATATAACGCCATTCAGGGCTTCACACAGCTAAGATCTATCAACTTTATTTCAAGGTCAGTCACTAACCAGGAGATGTTGAAGGTTCTTCCACATGACTTGTTATGAAATGACAGCAGCTTTGTTTTTCTTGTGGACTCTGAGGCCTCCAAATGTCGAATGGTATTCCATTCAGCGATATATTATGAAGGCATCCCGTGAAATTTCTTGTACTTAACATGGCATGATTCAGCTGAAGAACAAGAACAGGAATGTATTGATAAAATATCAAATAGCCTTTTAATTTTGGCTTTGCTGTCACCAATTATCTGCATTCCTCTTGTGAAAATGCTGACTCCTGCTTTGTGAAATTTTCCACTCAACCAACTACTTATTCATCAAATGCAAGCATAGGCAGTGAGCATTGTGCATGAACTGTTGGGAACATTACATTTTCGACCAATATAATAACGTGATATCAGCTTGGCTGAGTCAGAAGGTTGTGGGTTCGAGCCCCACATCGGGACTTGGGATCACATAGTCTAAGATGACACTCCAATGCAGTGCTGTGTGGGGGGGGGGGGTGGTGTTACATTGTTGGAGGTGCCATCATGTTAAATTGAGGTCCCTTCTGCCTGTTCAGGTGGATGTTAAAGATTCCATGACACTGTTCAAAAACTGAAGGGAATTTTTCTCGGTGTCCTAGTCAACAATCCCGAAAATAAAAATTGGTCATTCAGTTCATGACTATTTGTGGAAATGCTGTGCACAATTGTGCTGCTGTGTTTGCCTAAAATACAGTCACTCCATTTCACAATAAAGCCTGTGAAGCACTTTGAGAAGTCCTTCTGAAGAGATAATGTGCTATACCAAATCCAATTATTATTATTAGGGTTATTATAATACTGTCCAGTAACCAGGATTAGTAGTTTAGCTCATTTTCTCTGCTCTAGCCCAAGGACACTGAGGCCAATTCTAATGCCGGGTTGGCTTTGTGACTGAGATGAACAACCTAAGCAGTAACAAACCTAATCAAATTAGGTTGGTGTGGAATCCTGCAGCTCAGTGGTTAGAGCACTCGGCTCGCAAGCGAGAGACCTGAGTTTGATTCCGGGCAGGACAAAATGTTGGGCAGGTTTCCTTACTCCACATGAAGTAGGAACCAGTTGTTAGTCGATTGGTGGATTGCTTTTCCGGAGGTAATAATTCCTTAAAAAAAAATCGCTCACTTCAATCCATAACTGTTTGTGGGACACTGCTGTGTGCAATTGGCTGCCGCTTTTCTCCCACAAAATATACAGTCAATTCACTTTACCATATATTCTGTGAAACACTTTGTGACGTCTCGAAGACGTGATAAGGCGCTATATCAAATGAAAGGATTATTATTATTATTCATTTGACACTTGGACCCCTGATCAGTATGTACAAATTTGGCACTGAACAATGCACATCAGAGAGGTATCACTCAATCTTTTTTGACAAATGATTGTATTTTCAATTGTTTTGAATTTCACTTTGAGATGTTTTGATGTGATAAAAGTGTGATCACTCCTATCATCACTTTCAGTTATTCAATGTCTAGAAAATAAAGTCCATAGGATCTGTCACAGTACTCAATTCTGTGCTTTTGTGTTTGTATGTATCTGTGTGTGTGTCTCTGCTTCTCTAACATGTACCTACCTGCATCGGAGCTTGCTTCTCACATTGCTGGTTTAAATTGTGAACCTCATTATAATGCACAGATCTAAAATTTTACTTCTGGATGTGACCCTGAAGCATATAAAGAGGCCTGAAGTTATCCAAGGTTCAGATAAGCAGATTGGAGTGTACTTAATACACTTTTCACTCAAATTGCTATTCTAAAACTGACACAAACTGTGTTCAGTGATGCTTTGGCACCATATTTCTACAAATTTTATTGAAAGTATAATAACATTTTATCTGACAAAATTGTTATCTTATTGTCTGCTATGATTTACTTTGGTTCAATCAGTTCTTTTGGCACTATCAAAGAGTTATGCATAAATTTTAATGTTACATAGATTAGGTTCAGCCTCTGTCCCATTCATGTCCTCAGTGTTCTGGGAAAATGTATTACAGAATATTTCAATTCAACTTTTCAGATTTTCTTAAGATTTCTAATGGGCTTTTGACCACCACTTAACAGTCTTCCACTGCTCAGTGGCCAGAGGTTAGTTGCAAAAGCTTGTCACTGACATATGCATTCAGTGTTTAGGCATTGCAGGTCACTGGTAATGAATGATAAGTAGACAGACTGTGGCTTCTCTTGAGATCAATGCCTGCAGTTCCTGATTCTGAATTGAAGTGCTCACTCTTCTTTTGTACAGGATATCTCTGGACTAATGGCGGTAGTTGTCATCCACTGAACCCTCGAAGTCTGCTGGCATTCTAACTGTTATGTCACCTTCCCACACGATTCTCTGTTTCTCTTCTGCGATTTTGCACTTCCACGACCAAACAGCTCATAAATATTCATACATATCATGGTTTTCTCTTTCCTAAATGTAAAATAGTGTGGGGGAAACGGCAGGGGAGTGGATCTAAACAGATGCCTCTTACAGAGAGTCAATATGATACAAAGGGAGTGGAACTAAAGAGATATATCTTACAGAGAGTCGTTACGGATACAATGGACTGAATTGCCTCCTTCTGTGCTGAGAAATAAGCTTATGATTTCTAAGCATCCAGGAAAGATTGGGAGAGACAGAAAGATTGAGAGACAGGGAGAGGGGGAGAGAGATGGGGGGAAGGGAGAGAGAGGGGGAAGAAAGGGGGATTTAGAGGGATTGAGAGAGGGGGTGAGAGAGAAAGAGAGAGAGAGAGAGGATGAGGGTAGGGAGAGGGGAGGAAGGAGGAATGGATTGAGAGAGTGGGAGGGAGAGGGGCGAGAGAGACTGTGAGAGACGGGGAGAGAAAGAGTGATTGAGAGCGAGGGGGAGAAAGTAATTGAGAGGGGAAGTGAGCAAGAGAGAGATTGAGAGCGAGCGTGACAGGGGAGAGAGTTGTTAGAGAGAGAGATTGTGAGAGGGAGGAAGAGAGAGAGGAGCGTGTGTCTGTATGTGAGAGTGTGAGTGAGAGGGGAGAGAGAAAGGGAGAGTGGGAGAGAGAGATTGTGTGAGAGGGGGAGAAGAAGAGTGATTGAGAGAGCAATTGAGAAGAGAGATTGAGAGGGAGTGTGAGAGGGGAGAGAGAGTTGTAAGAGAGTGTGAGAGGGAGTAAGATAGTGAGGGAGATAGAGAGAGCAGAGAGTGATCTAGAGAGTGTGAGATGGGAGAGAGTGTGCGTGAGAGAGAAGTGTGCGTGAGAGAGAAGTGTGCGTGAGAGAGAAAAGGGAGAATGATTGAGAGAGAGAGAAAGAGAGAGAGAGAAACAAAAAGAGTGAGAGAGAGGAAGAAGTGAGGAACAAGGACAGACACCGAGTGACGTGATGTGCCATGCAGTTTCCTCACAGAAAACTCCCTTTCCCCAGTGAAAAATCTCTCTATGTCCTTCAGTCAAATAAATGCATGCTTAAATTAATGATTCCATTAATAAGACGTCCAGCACTTGATGTGACCTGGATCATTAATCGTTACCTTCCTTTCCTAAGCTTGGTTAAAAGATTAAGTGTGATAGGACTCTTGGCTCTCACTTGTGGATTCAAGCCCCTTGTCAGGATGTTGAACCCATAATGTAGCCTGACACTCCAATACAGGACTGGGATTTAATTATATTGTGGAAGTCCTTTGTATAAAACATAAAAATCAAGATCTGTCTGCCTGTTAAGGTGGATATTAAATATCCCATGGTACTACAGTATTTCAAAAGAGTAGGGAGTTTCTCCCAGTGTCCTAGCCCCAAATGAAACTGATCACTTACTTTATGGCTGTTTGTGGGACATTGTTGTGAGTAAATTGGTTGCTGTGTTAGTCTACATAATACAGTCACTATACTCTATGGTGAATCTTGTAAAGTGCTTTAAGAAGTCCACCTGATATGAAATGCAAGGATTGATGCTATAATCATTGGTTGCAGAGAATGATTACCTCAATATCCATTAGTCTAGCTCCAGTAGCTGTTGGGGCGATACATGCCTTCAGGGCACAGTTGTTTGTAGTGTAACAAACTCTGTATTGTGTTGAACAATGTACATTACTAATTAATAAATGGATATTTGTATACTAGTTTTCAGAACATAGCAATTCATCACATACAGACAAGCGCAGCACTTGTCCATATACTGCTCATTACCTTCATATTTCCTATGATTCCTCCTATGTAAACGGTGGAGGTTGGGACCAGCAGGAGGTATTTGTCTAATGTATTTTGGCTTCCGAATGCTGAATGCGATCTCTGTGACACCATTTCTGTTACTTTGATTGAACCTTCATGTCCAAACCTGCAATTTCAATCATAATGATATGAGAATGGCTTCAGACTTAAAATAGTCAAAAATAATATATGGAGTTAAATAACAGTTTTTTTTTTAACCCCGCATGTTGATGAATTTCTTCTAAGGTTTTTATGGTGATACTGTAGATTTTGTTTTAAGTCTGCAGAAAAAAGTTTTTGGAATTTCACTAAGATTTTAAGATGAGTTGTGTTAATTTACTCTCCAAATTCCATCAATGACTCTACAAATGCATGGAATTGTCAGTTTGGTTTAGATAATCTAAGCAAGGTGATGGGCCTCCGCATGTGTCAGACACCTGACTGACCCTAAAAAAAGATGGAATTTTGGGCCCAAACTCGTGCTGAATCTGTTGCAATAGACTGACTAACCACTAGGGGCAGTGACTCACTGCTTCTCCCCAAGAGTGACTCCAATTTTTACTCTGATATGCAGCCATCCAGGGCTTTACAACTTTCAACAACAAAATTACATTTGTATAGCGCCTTTCACGTCAGGAGGACGTCCCAAAGAGCAGGGGAAGGACTCAAGTATTTTTTTCTCTCTTGCCCATAGAGTGTTAAGTAAACGATTGCATTGTTTTAATACTTATTTTAGCATGTGGAGACCCTGACCTCAATTCGGGACCTCAAAGAGGTGTATAATATTTTAAAGGGGATTGACAAAGTGAAACCAGAACAATACTCTAGGATGCAATAAGTCAGCAGAACAAGAGGACACAAAGTTAATGTGGCAAAGGGCAGTTTCGGGACAGATACCATGATGTTTTTTTTATTTAGACAGTAATTAATAACTGGAACACATTGCCAGGAAAACTAAATATATTTAAATTTAGAGTAAATAATCTCACCATTCTATGAACAATGAGAAGTATTTCTCACAAGATGTATTGGACAGTCTAGAGCTGGACGTGTACACTTCATTGTACATTGCGCAAATGGCATTGCGCATTCCTGCTTTTAAGGAGACTGTCGATTATGAGTTGTCTTGGTGACTTTATGCTTATTCTGAGAGATACTTTACCTGTTAGCATTGATCTGATACCACTTCTCTTGCTGAAGTCTAACCAGGCTGATTACTGTGACGACAAGATTAGTCATTCCAAATCTGAAGTGCAGCAACCCATCGATCAGCTCCAGTCCCAAGAAACCTTTCACTGAAGATATTATACAAATAACAATGTGTTCACATTTAATGCATTGCTAGAAAAAGTACACAGACTCATTTGTTTCTTAATAAACTCCGAGGGCTGCAAGCATTTGCAATGGGATTTTTACCATGTGAGCTATTGTGGACTGGAAGGAATGGCGGAAGCTGAAATAATGTTTCCTTGCTTCCAGTATCAATGCCCTTGATTTCCTATTAATTTACACGGAATTGCATAAAATGATAGTGCACAAAAACAGGCTATTGTGGCCCAACCAGTCTTTGCTGGTGTTTGTACAGGGTTACCAAAAAGCAACCCTATTATCTAAAAAAATCATAATTTGTTTAAGTCTTATTAGACATTGTAATGGTATCATGACTTTTTGGTCACCCTGTATATCCACTTGAGTCCCATTGCCCTCCCTATAACCCCCTATTCTCTTCTTCCTTAAGTATGCAACAAGATTCCTCTAAAATATATTGATGCTCTCTTCCTGGAGGGACGCATCCTGCTTACCTAATTCCAGAAAGTGTCAGGAGCAGATGCTTGGGGACCCCAGAGTGTGTGTTGGGATACTGCAAGAGCCTAACCAGCTAAAATTGTATAGCTTGCCATTGCTATTGCTGTCTGGCAAACTTTCCATCTGCTTGTCCAGCTAGGGCCAACCTACTCATTAGGGCTTTGATTTGCAGGCTTAACAGGATCTGAGTGGGATGACTCCTTGCCCCGAGTGACTGCTCTGCCCTTCCAGGTTCTGCCGATGAGCCCGGCTGGCTGTGCTGTTGTCAGCAGCGCTCTGGAAGACTACGGACCTGCTTGGCTCAGGAACTGGACTATCGAGACTGCAACAGAGAGCTGGCTCGATTCTGACATTCCGTTGCCAGGCACGTCACCTTGGAGCCAATTCAGCTCCAAGAAGACTCCATTTACCTCACCCCCAAGGAGCATAGTCACTAGTCGGTCATTTGACATTCGACAAGTGTGGGTTTGAGCCCTTACTAGGTCTATGTCACAAGCTTGACCTGCATTGGGACCTTGTTGTCCTTAAAGAGGAATGAGCTGACCAGAGTCCTTAACCCTGAAGTAAATAAATAGACAAGTTAAAACATCAGGAGGGTGACAGTGCCAGCAGAAAGAAGACATCATGAGAAGGAGAGAATAGAATATAAAATATTCTGAACGACAATGTGAGGGCTTTTCAAACGCCCTGACAAGTAGATTGCTGCTGCTGATTCTGCAGTGAGGTATCATTACTCAGACTCCTAGTTCATAGTTTCTGCTGTATTTCATTTGAAAAAGGACCGAATTGCCAAATGAAAGGGCCAAGCTCATGATTTCCTGAAGTCTCCCAAGTCTTGAGGTGCCAATGCAACCCAATATAAAAAAAGGCTGTGACAGTATCAGTGACAAAAATGAGTTCACAATGTCAGAATCATCAGATTGTATTGCAATTGTATAGCACACTCTCCCATGCTTCATTTTATCCAATCTGAGTCTGAAAAGTTTTGATGATGAGCACAAGGGAGAATGCATTACAGTGTGAGGCTCTTTGTTCCCATGGGATCTATTGAGATCCTCACCACCTATCAGTAGCTCTATATTGCAATGGTTCACAGTAAATTCAGTGCTTTAGTTATCGTATTTAACATTGATAATTCTGGAACGTTGCAATTTCCACTTGATAACTGAAGACGAGTGTGAGCCTATCCCTGACTCCTCTGGCAGGGTTAAGAATGGAATTGGGGTCCACTTAAACAGTTTTGCAACTACTTTCAACTAACCCCTTTTCTACATGTCCACATTCCACATGGTTTCAACTTGGGGTGGGTGTAAAAATACAACTGAAGCCCCACTTAGAAAAAATTAGGAACTGATTTTCTAGACCATACATCTGATTTTGCAACTAATTTCAACTAACCTCCTTTCTACACTTCCCTCATTGCAGATGGTCTCAATTGATCACGCGCTTTGAAAGAAAATCCCAAGATATTGATACATTTGAACTTCCACTATAATGTGTATCCATGAGATTGGACTAAGTTTTAATTGTACATAATGCAGGATGCAGGCCGAATCAATAGGTACTGAGCACTTGGAACAAGCAGATACAGTTGTACCCTAGCAAGACTTTGAATACAAAGTTGGTTAACTTGTCTGCTGTCTCAAACCATAAGTGTATCAAGTTGCTTTAAGTCATTTTGACTCTGACTTAATGTAAGACTTTGAGGTGTTGTCAATTGAATGTTTGTGACCAATAAATGGCTCAATTGAACTGTTTTTGAGTCGTCATTATTCCCTCGTTAATTCAAACGGGATACTGTTTTTGTCTAGTCACTGGAATGTTAGGTACCACCTCCGTGACACTTTACTGCAGGATTGTGACACGAATCTGGACCAAAGATTGTGGCACCACCATGATACGTGGCATTTTAGTGCCACTTCATAGGATATCAGCTCTACTCAATCTGAAATCTTTGGACTCACTTCAGGTAGACAAAGAGAAATTCTAGACACAGTTGTTAGCCACTGTATCAGTAAACATTCTCTTCGCACTCAGCAAAGCTACCGATAAAGCAACAATAACTTGCATATATATATTAGTTTCGCCCACAAAATATACAGTCAGCTCACTTTACAGTGTAGTCTGTGAAGCGCTTTGAGACGTCTTGAAGATGTGATAAGGTGCTTTATAAAATGCAGATATTATTATTACTATTCACTTGGGGTAATGTCTCAGAGTGCTAAAGCAGAAGCTGAAGCCCAAGAGAAGGTATCTTATAGCCACTGCAGGGGTGTAAGCTGCCTTCTCTTGGGCTTCACCTTTAAGCGATCCGAGATGGTAAGCTAAGCCTCCTTCTATGCATCTTTCCAAATTCTTATTCAATATGAATTTCCAGCGCAACTCTTACTCTAGGAATTCATACTGGATAAGAATTTGAAAGATGCAGAGAAAGAATTATTTAGCATAATTAAATCAATAAAGTGAACGTCCATTCCATCGGCCACACCTGCAATCGAAATAGCTTCTCAATAAAACTAGTACACACAATGGTACAGTGGAGGAGAGCTTAATTGGGCACAGCAGTGGGTCACAAACAGTCGTAGTTTGAATGCCCAAATTCTTCTTTTTTTTTGAAGGGATTATTACACCAGGAAAAAACAATCCACTTTACTGTATATTCTGTGAAGTGCTTTGAGACGTCTTGAAGATGTGATAGGGTGCTATATGAAATGCAGGTATTATTATTAGTAGTAGTATTATTATTCACTTGTAGTAATGTCTCAGAGCGCTAAAGCTAATTGGGGAATAACAAGGGAGTTCCTACTTACTGCTAGGTGAACAGAGGCGTGTGGAATGAGGAAAGTTGCTTAACGTTTTGATCTGTCCGGAATCAAACCCGGGTCCTCTCGCATGAGAGGTGAGTGCTCTAACCATTGAGCTACATGACTTCACCTGTATCAGGAACTTACCTAAATTAGATCTCAGATACAAAATACACAGTCACTAACTTTATAGTAAATCCGGTGACACACTTTGAAATATCCTCCTGATAGAAAGTCGCTCTATCAAATTATTATTATTATTATTATCTCTCCAGTTTATGCTACTGGTTCAGTCTTATAAACACAAACTTCTTATCCAGACAAGATAATTATCCAGAGATCCAGATAATTTCTTATCTAGTCTTATCCAAATTTCTTATCCGCACATCTTAAAAGAGAGCCTTGACTTCACAGCGCAACTTTACTCTGACACAGGAGCCTGCTATGGATAAGTAGACACATGCAGATGCACAGCAGTCTGCTAAACAAGTGATCAACAAAGTCTCTTTCAATCCTAAACAGCAAGTCCTGAGCATTGTTACATTTGATGTGCATGTGGGTGGTTCTGCCTAAAAGCACTTTAAAAATCCAAATGCCATGTGAATTCATTTGTTTGCTTTGCCTGATGACATTTACAGGCATCTCTGAACATGTTCTTTGATTTATTTGACTCATTAAGTGACATTAGTGCAGTACTAAGTGGAATTAATTTTGTGTTTGTACTAACAGTTAACTTTTGTTGCTTAAAAATGTTCTAAAGGGTGCAGCTAATGGCTGTAATTTTGCATTAGTGTCACAAGTTTGAAGAATATATGAGCTAAATAAAGTTATTCAAATATAAATGTAGCTTAAGTGGATTCACTCAACACTCCCTAGTGAACTAGTGACCACCTCCCACCCATTCCCTGAATACATTTACTGCCATTATTACACAGTTCAGAACTTTACAGCTGAGGGCTTAACTTGGCTCAAAATCTAAAATACTGCCCACAGAAATTAAGTTTTCTCCCTCAGTTTTTCAACATTTTATGTCAATCGATTTCTGCTTAATAAATGTAAACCCAAAGCAATGCTCTTGGACACACTCAGATGGCAGAACAAGAGTGCACAGATTTTAATAATAATAATAATAATAATCCTTGCATTTGATATAGCGCTTTTCACGTCGGGAGGACGTCCCAAAGCGCTTCACAGAACACACTGTAAAGTGAATTGACTGTATATTTGTGGGCGAACGCGGCAGCCAATTGCGCACAGCAATGTCCCACAAACAGTCGTAGATTGAAAATGACCAATTTAATTATTGTTTTTGGTTTTTTGGAGGGATTATTATTAGGCGTGTGGAGTAAGGAAACTTGCCCAAGGTTTCGCCCTGCCTGGAAAGTTTAAAGTTGCAACAGGCAATTTCAGGCCTGACAGCGGGAAGTATTTCTTTACTAAGAGGGTAATTAATGAGTGGAACAAATTACCAGGAAGAGGAGTTGAGGCCGGAATACTTGACTCATTGAACAAAAGCAACTTTGTGCTGTGATGGGAGGATGATACGGTAGATATTCTGCAAAATGAGATCAAATAGGCCAAAAGGTCTTCTTCATCCAAACCAATTTTGTGATATTCAAAAGAGGGTTGGCTTACCCTGGGTAGAGTGCACATCATACAATACTGCACCAAACAAAGAAGAAACTCACCGCTAATTTGGTTTTCACCCAGTGCTTACCTCAGATTTGTGTCTAAAACACAATTATTTATATTGGATTTTCCAATATTTTTGCCAACTCCCAAGAACTTTTCATACACCCAACCACTTTGCAGAGTGGAGTTCCTACGCATTGCGTCTGATTGACAGAGGAGTAACCATCTGTGAAACAGAATCCTTATTAAGGAATCCAATTAAATAACTCTCTGGGCTTTAGACTATAATCTCAGAGTTTGAAGTGTAATTTATCAATTCCCTACTTTATGGAAGTTCAAAGAAAGATCCCAAGAGATTTTCTGGTTTCACCCCATTAAATGGTTTCCTACGTCCAAGTATAACCAGAGTATCCTTCATTCCCACCTCACTTGGGGCCCGAAGGACAGTGTCCAAGCAAAAGTTCACATCTACCACAAACAAACAACAACTATACGAAGTTGTATAGTGGCTTTCATGTTGGGAGGACATCCCAAGGCGCTGGACAATCAGTGTTTCGGACACAAGCTGGGGGTCGGGGGGCAGGGGGGGAAGGAGGGTGATTGAAGGTACAGTTGAATAGGAAGGTTTTGGGTCTTGAAGGAGGCAAGGAAAGGGGAGAGGTGAATTGATTGCGGGATGGAGTTCCAGAGAGTGGGAGCAGAGTGGCTGAAGGCCTGTCCGCCAATGGTGGAGCGGGTGAAGCAGGGGATGTGAAGCTCTCATCCAGGACCTGATGTCTGACAAACATTCTGTCAGGGACAGCAGTGGTCCTGGAGTCAAGGGTAGAGGTACAGTTGTGTGTCTACCGCATACATGTGATCCCGTGTCTGTGGATGATGTCACCTTGAGGGAGCATATAGATATTGAAGAGGAGGGGACCAAGGACAAAGCCCCGAGGAATGCCGGACGAGATGGTGCGGGGGGCTAGAGGAGAAGCTGTTTGTGGAGATGATGTGTGAGAGGTACGATCTGAAACCGTCAAGTACAGAACCATGAAGGTTGAGGTGACAGGAGAGGCAGTGAATGAGGATAGAGTGGTCAACATTGTCAAAAGCAGTAGAGAGGTCAAGGACGACAAGGAGGCTGAGGGAGCCCTGGTTGCAGATGGACATAAATGTCATTTGTCACTTTGACCAGGGCCCTTTCTGTGCTGTGAGTGGCACAGAAGCCCGATTGGAGCGGTTCGAGAAGGGAGTGGCGGGAGAGGAAGGGGCGAAGCTGGGAAGCAACAACTCATTCTAGAACCTTGGAAAGGAAAGGGAGGTTGGCGATGGGGTGGTAATTTGAGAGCAGGATGGTCCAGGGAGGGTTTTTAAAAGATAGGAGTGATGACGGCCGTTTTTAAAGGGGTGGAAATGATGCCAGTCGACAGGGAGAGCTTTATGATGTCTGCGAGTAAAAGGGCAAGGAGGTGGAGCTGGGAGGTAAGGAGAGGGTTAGGGATTGGGTCGATGGAGCAGGTTGTCTATTTCATGTGGGTTATAGTGATGGTGAGAGTGGAGGAGGCCACAGGTTCGAAGGTGTGGAGGGTGGAATGGGTAGGGACTGGTGTGTGAGGGGGAGATGGGGAGGGGGTAGTAGACCGAAGGGCAGAGGCAGCTGAGCGGATCCCCTCGATTTTGGTTTTGACGATGTCCAGCATCGCCTCGCAGTTGGCATTGGAGGAGAGGATGGGGGAGGTGTGACCTCTGATACTGAAATAACAATTGTACTGAATGCCCTCGTATCTTCCATCTAATACCTTGAGAAACCCCTCTTAAGCTACGCAGAAACCCACAGTGATGACAGCAGTCAGCCTGACTCATCAGCAGGA